AATGTTCTTTTTCTGGATCAGTTCATTCTGCATGCACTTGCACTGAATACTGCAAAACTCAACTAAACTAAACTACAAGGTGGGTGGCGCTAGGCTCACACCCTAGTGCAGGCTTTATTCTGGCCTATCATATGCACTGTTTCAAAATGTAACTAAACATACATATCATATTTATCTGGAAATTTTCTCTGATGACTAGATCTACGCACTTCTGGTACCGAGACAGAAGTTTCTGAAGATTGTTCTTTTATAGGATCTGTTGTCTCATCTTTCAATGTAGTAGATTTGTTAGTAGTTGTAGGTGATACATTCTCTGATGAATGTTCTTCCGGTTTCAATGATGACGAATCCTGTTTAGGAACTGGCACTGATGGTGAGATAGAAGGCATCCGTATTGGTACAGGTACCATATTCAGTTTACTCTGAGTTTGGTCACTTTGCGTAATTTCCTCTGATGGCAATCTAGATCTAAGCTGATCTTGATGTCTTTTCCAAACTCTTCCATCCTGAAGTCTAACTAGGAATGTTAGTGATCCCCACTTCTCTTCAATTATTCCAGGTATCCATTTTGGTTTTCCCGCATAGTTCATAGCAAATACCGAATCCCCAAGGAAGTAGGTGTAATCCCTTGTTTTTGTATCGTAATTCTCTTTCATCTTTCCCTGGTTATGCAATACTCATGTCTGAAGTGATGGTTGCAATAGATCAAGTCTTGATCTTGGATGTCTATGCATAAGTAATGCTGCAGGAATCTGTCCTGTGGTAGTCTGTGGCGTGATTCTGTATCTTGCCAAAAACCGATACAATCTGGACTCTAAATATCTTGAAGACTTTCTGAGACCTCCCTTGACTGTTTGTACAGCTCTTTCAGCTAACCCGTTACTGGCAGGATGGTAAGGAGCTGTTGTGATGCGTTTTATTCCATTTGTTTTACAAAGGGATCTAAACTTTTCACTGGTGAAACAAGTACCATTATCTGATACTATCATGTGCGGTAGACCATGCGTAGCAAATGTTTGGTACAATGTGTTGATTGTTGCTGTGGATGTTGCTGTCGGCATAACGTGAGCTTCTATATATTTACTATGAGCATCAACAATGATTAATATCATTTTACCTTCATATGGACCTGCAAAATCTATGTGCAAAATCTAAGTTAGTGAAGAATTTACCCCCAGCAAGCTTTGCATACAAATCTTCAACATTGGGTATCTGTCAACACATAATGCTTTGTTTAAAGTTTGTTTGTAGTCACCACACATGCAAACATCACCTGTCGCTTTAAGTACAGGTACAACTGGTGAAGCCCAATCTGAGTAAGATACAGGTCTAATGACTCCTTCCTTTTCTAAGCGATCAATTTCTTTATCTACTTTATCTCGGAGGGCAAATGGTACAGTACAAGCTTTCATATATCTTGATGTTATCTCAGAATTAACATGCAGCTTGATGGTAGTGTCTTTCAAGGTTCCCAATCCTGGTTCGAACAATTTTGGATGTTTACTAATCCATGACTCTCCATCAAGATGAAAAACTTGTGGCCAGTCTAGTTTTATTATTTCTAACCAGTCTCTGCCTATCAAGTTTGGACCATTACCTGGTACAAACAATGCTTTTAATTTATGTATGGTATCTGCTTCACGTGCCTCCAGTTCTGTCTGACCTAAGGGGTTAATGCAATTTCCTGCATATGTTCTCAATCTGGGTAGTCCCTCAGTGTGTAGTTGTAATGCTTGCTGACCAACTTTCAGTTTCTTAAACTGCTGCTCACTTATCAAACTTACTGCTGCGCCCGTATCAATTTCCATGGTTGTCGGTACCCCATTCAGTTGAAGGTTGTATCTATATGGCTGTGTTTTGGAAATACTTGATGCAGTTCTATACAGGTCAACGTTATATGTTTCCTGCCCATATGAGTAGACTGTGATTGGTTCAGTAGAAATAAAATTATTTTCTGTTCTCCCTTGTGACTTGCAATATTTAGCAAAATGATTCTGCTTATGACATTTTCTGCATTCTTTTCCCCAAGCTGGACATTTTTCCTTTTTGTCATGAGGCCATTTACCACCACAACCCCAGCATGACTGTTTTTTATCACCATTACCAGGCCCCCTAGGCTTGTGTAATTTCTTCGGTTTGTAATGGGTCATTTCGGATTTATGCATTTCTGTATAATCTGAGATTTTATTTATTTCTCTTTCTCATGAAATTCACAGTTCTTGGCTAGCTGTCGTAATCTAGCAGCAAATTTATCAAGTGTTTCTGATGGTAACTGACTTGCCTGGCGAAACACATACACTTCATACTCTACATTTCGTTTTGGCGCGAAGTACTCACTCAGTTTTGTCTTCAACTGTGCGTACGTTTCGTCTTCCGCCTGCTCCAATCCGAGGTGAATTTCAAAAACTTCTTCCCCCGCTAGGTGAAGTAGGAGAGCTCTTTACCTCGCATCCTGTGTAATATTCTTGGCTACAAGATAATTATCGAATCTTGCTATCCACCTTTCCCAGCGCACTGTAGCTGTCTCTGGCGGAATTGGGTTGAACGGTTTCAAAGCATCGTTGCCGTCCATTGTGACGCTGATTTGTTTTGTCTTCAAAACAGGCTCAAAAATAATTTGTACTCACTTCACTTGTTCTGACGGTTTTCTGTACGTCAAAGTTACTCGTCGCCAAATTGTTGGGTTCTTGGGTGCAGTGAAGGCCGTAACAGGCTAAAGAATACAAGCTCGGTATAAACAACACAACTGGTTTATTACAGTAATGGCGGCGTTCTGATTACGCAATGCAGATGACGTAATAAAGTACATGTCATTAAATACGACCCAAGCTCAATATACTACATCCCTCCCCATCTAAGTGAATCTCACTCTAGCAGTCTATATTGGGATTTAATATATAATGTTCTTTTCTGGATCAGTTCATTCTGCATGCACTTGTACTGAATACTGCAAAACTCAACTAAACTACAATGTGGGTGGCGCTAGGCTCACACCCTAGTGCAGGCTTTATTCTGGCCTATCATATGCACTGTTTCAAAATGTAACTAAACATACATATCATATTTATCTGGAAATTTCCTCTGACGACTAGATCTACGCACTTCTGGCACCGAGGCAGAAGTTTCTGAAGATTGTTCATTTATAGGATCTGTTGTCTCATCTTTCAATGTAGTAGATTTGTTGGTAGTTGGAGGTGATACATTCTCTACAAGTTCTTCCATTTTCAATGATGACAAATCCTGTTTAGGAACTGGCACTGATGGCGAGATAGAAGGCATCCGTGTTGGTACAGGTACCATATTCGGTTTACTCTGAGTTTGGTCACTTTGCATAATTTCCTCTGATGGCGATCTAGATCTAAGCTGATCTTGATGTCTTTTCCAAACTCTTCCATCCTGAAGTCTAACTAGGAATGTTAGTGATCCCCACTTCTCTTCAATTACTCCAGGTATCCATTTTGGTTTTCCTGCATAATTCATAGCAAATACCGAATCCCCAAGGAAGTAGGTGTAATCCCTTGTTTTTGTATCGTAATTCTCTTTCATCTTTCCCTGGTTATGCAATACTCGTGTCTGAAGTGATGGTTGCACAAGATCAAGTCTTGATCTTGGATGTCTTTGCATAAGTAATGCTGCAGGGATCTGTCCTGTGGTAGTCTGTGGCGTGATTCTGTATCTTGCCAAAAACCGATACAATCTGGACTCTAAACATCCTGAAGACTTTCTGAGACCTCCCTTGACTGTTTGTACAGCTCTTTCAGCTAACCCGTTACTGGCAGGATGGTAAGGAGCTGTTGTGATGTGCTTTATTCCATTTGTTTTACAAAAGGATCTAAACTCTTCGCTGGTGAAACAAGTACCATTGTCTGATACTATCATGTGCGGTGGACCATGCGTAGCAAATGTTTGGTACAATTTGTTGATTGTTGCTGTGGATGTTGCTGTCGGCATAACGTGAGCTTCTATATATTTACTATGAGCATCAACAATGATTAATATCATTTTACCTTCATATGGACCTGCAAAATCTATGTGCAGTCGGAACCACGGCTGGTTAGGCCATTCCCAAGCATGTAATGGTGCTTTAGTTGGGGATTTCGTAGAATCCTGGCATGCTGTACAACTGCGAACTCTGTCATCGATTTCAGCATCTAACCCTGGCCACCATAGGTAATTTCGGGCCAAAGCTTTCATGCGCACTATACCAGGATGACCTTCATGAAGTTCCTCTAAGATAGCTTCACGAGCCCGAGCTGGAATTATTACCCGCGACCCCCACAAAATACATCCTTGCTGAACTAAGAGTTCTTGTTTGCGTCTAAAATACGGTCGCAGTTGTTCCTCCACCTGCTCAGGCCAACCTTGGGTTACCCACTTTAAGATGTGTGATAATACTGGATCTCTTGCTGTCCAGTTTGCTACAAGCTCAGCCGTTACTGGTGATCCATCTAGTGTTGATAATGTAAGAACCACCTCTTCAGGGACAGGTACACTGCCTGGTTGTTCCTTTATGGGTAAGCGACTTAATCCATCTGCATTTCCCATATTAGATCCTGGTTTATACTCTAACTGGTATTGATAATTGGCTAGTGTAAGTGCCCATCGCTGAATTCTGGCACTTGCCAACTGTGATATAGCTTTATCTTGCTTTAACAGACCAAGTAATGGCTTATGATCTGTTTTGATGCTAAATTCACGCCCATATAGGTACTTATGAAATTTGGTAACACCAAACACAATTGCTAGTCCTTCACGTTCTATCTGGGCATATCGCTTCTCTGCAGGTGCTAGTGTGCGAGAGGCAAAAGCTATGGGCTGTTCCATTCCATTTGGCATTCTATGGGAAAGTACTGCTCCAATGCCATATGGAGAAGCATCACAATCCAAGGTTAGTTTCAAACCACTATCATAGTGTACTAACAGTTGAGACGACTGTAATAGTTCCTTTGATTTGCTGAATGCTTCCTGCTGACTTTTCCCCCACTGCCACTTGGTGTTCTGTTGTCCAAGTTGATACAGTGGTGCCAAAACAGTGCTAAGATTCTTCAAGAACCTATGATAGTAATTTAAGAGACCTAAATAACTTTTAAGCTCTTCTCTGTTCTGAGGCGCTGGAGCTTTCTGTATGACTGCCACCTTTTCTTCTGTAGGACGAATACCAGTAGCATCAATGCAATGTCCTAGGTAAGTGACTGATGGTTTCTTAAACACACACTTGTCTCGTTTTAGTTTGAGTCCAGCTTTGTCTAAGCGATCCAAAAATTCATCTAAATTCTCTTCATGCTCTTTTTCGGTAAGTCCAGAAACCAGTATATCATCGATATAAACTGCTGTCATTGATATGCCTTGGACTGTCTGTTCCATGGTTCTCTGGAAAATACCTGGTGCTGCTGATATACCGTAGGGTAAACGTGTGTATGCATATATACCTTTGTTAGTATTGATGGCTGTCAAGTTCTGTGACTCCTCATCTAATAGCAATTGCTGATAAGCATGACTCAAATCTAACTTAGTGAAGAATTTACCCCCAGCAAGCTTTGCATACAAATCTTCAACATTGGGTATTGGGTATCTGTCAACACATAAGGCTTTGTTTAAAGTTTGTTTGTAGTCACCACATATGCGAACATCACCTGTTGCTTTAAGTACCGATACAACTGGTGAAGCCCAATCTGAGTAAGATACGGGTCTAATGACTCCTTCCTTTTCTAAGCGATCAATCTCTTTATCTACTTTATCTCGGAGGGCAAATGGTACAGTACGTGCTTTCATATATCTCGGTGTTATCTCAGGATTAACATGCAGCTTGATGGTAGTGTCTTTCAGGGTTCCCAATCCTGGTTCGAACAATTTTGGATGTTTACTAATCCATGACTCTCCATCAAGATGAAAAACTTGTGGCCAGTCTAGTTTGATTATTTCTAACCAGTCTCTGCCTATCAAGTTTGGACCATTACCTGGTACAACCAATACTTTTAATTTATGTATGGTATCTGCTTCACGTGCCTCCAGTTCTGTCTGACCTAAGGGGTTAATGCAATTTCCTGCATATGTTCTCAATCTGGGTAGTCCCTCAGTGTGTAGTTGTAATGCTTGCTGACCAACTTTCAGTTTCTTAAACTGCTGCTCACTTATCAAACTTACTGCTGCCCCCGTATCAATTTCCATGGTTGTCGGTACCCCATTCAGTTGAAGGTTGTATCTATATGGCTGTGTTTTGGAAATACTTGATGCAGTTCTATACAGGTCAACGTTATATGTTTCCTGCCCATATGAGTAGACTGTGGTTGGTTCAGTAGAAATAAAATTATTTTCTGTTCTCCCTTGTGACTTGCAATATTTAGCAAAATGATTCTGCTTATGACATTTTCTGCATTCTTTTCCCCAAGCTGGACATTTCTCCTTTTTGTCATGAGGCCATTTACCACCACAACCCCAGCATGACTGTTTTTTATCACCATTACCAGGCCCCCTAGGCTTGTGTAATTTCTTCAGTTTGTAATGGGTCATTCTGTGTACTGTGGGTACATTGCAAGGTGCTTCAGCCCCTGCATTGACTGTAGACATATTATGTGCCTGAGCTGTAGTGGCTTTTAGTAACGACCATATTTCAATAAATCATCAAGGGAAAAATTCAGCTCTCTTAATCCTTTTTCTCTTATTTTCGGATTTATGCATTTCTGTATAATCTGAGATTTTATTTCTCTCTCTTTCTCATGAAATTCACAGTTCTTGGCTAGCTGTCGTAATCTAGCAGCAAATTTATCAAGTGTTTCTGATGGTAACTGACTTGCCTGGCGAAACACATACACTTCATACTCTACATTTCGTTTTGGCGCGAAGTACTCACTCAGTTTTGTCTTCAACTGTGCGTACGTTTCGTCTTCCGCCTGCTCCAATCCGAGGCGAATTTCAAAAACTTCTTCCCCCGCTAGGTGAAGTAGGAGAGCTCTTTTCCTCGCATCCTGTGTAATATTCTTGGATACAAGATAATTATCGAATCTTGCTATCCACCTTTCCCAGCGCACTATAGCTGTCTCTGGCGGAATTGGGTTGAACGGTTTCAAAGCATCGTTGCCGTCCATTGTGACGCTGATTTGTTTTGTCTTCAAAACAGGCTCAAAAATAATTTGTACTCACTTCACTTGTTCTGACGGTTTTCTGTACGTCAAAGTTACTCCTTGTCGCCAAATTGTTGGGTTCTTGGGTGCAGTGAAGGCCGTAACAGACTAACGAATACAAGCTCGGTATAAACAACACAACTGGTTTATTACAGTAATGGCGGCGTTCTGATTACGCAATGCAGATGACGTAATAAAGTACATGTCATTAAATACGACCCAAGCTCAATATACTACATCCCTCCCTATCTAAGTGAATCTCACTCTAGCAGTCTATATTGGGATTTAATATATAATATTCTTTTCTGGATCAGTTCATTCTGCATGCACTTGTACTGAATACTGCAAAACTCAACTAAACTACAATGTGGGTGGCGCTAGGCTCACACCCTAGTGCAGGCTTTATTCTGGCCTATCATATGCACTGTTTCAAAATGTAACTAAACATACATATCATATTTATCTGGAAATTTTCTCTGACGACTAGATCTACGCACTTCTGGTACCGAGGCATAAGTTTCTGACGATTGTTCATTTATAGGATCTGTTGTCTCATCTTTCAATGTAGTAGATTTGTTAGTAGTTGTAGGTGATACATTCTCTGATGAAAGTTCTTCCGGTTTCAATGATGACGAATCATGTTTAGGAACTGGCACTGATGGCGAGATAGAAGGCATCCGTATTGGTACAGATACCATATTCGGTTTACTCTGAGTTTGGTCACTTTGCGTAATTTCCTCTGATGGCATCTAGATCTAAGCTGATCTTGATGTCTTTTCCATCCTGAAATCTAACTAGGAATGTTAGTGATCCCCACTTCTCTTCAATTATTCCAGGTATCCATTTTGGTATTCCCGCATAACCGAAAGTAGGTGTAATCCCTTGTTTTTGTATCATAATTCTTTTTCATCTTTCCCTGGTTATGCAATACTCGTGTCTGAAGTGATGGTTGCACAAGATCAAGTCTTGATCTTGGATGTCTATGCATAAGTAATGCTGCAGGAATCTGTCCTGTGGTAATCTGTGGCGTGAATCTGTATCTTGCCAAAAACCGATACAATCTGGACTCTAAACATCCTGAAGACTTTCTGAGACCTCCCTTGACTGTTTGTACAGCTCTTTTAGCTAACCCGTTACTGGCAGGATGGCAAGGAGCTGTTGTGATGTGCTTTATTCCATTTGTTTTACAAAAGGATCTAAACTCTTCACTGGTGAAACAAGTACCATTATTTGATACTATCACGTGCGGTAGCCCATGCGTAGCAAATGTTTGGTACAATTTGTTGATTGTTGCTGTGGATGTTGCTGTCGGCATAACGTGAGCTTCTATATATTTACTATGAGCATCAACAATGATTAATATCATTTTACCTTAATATGGACCTGCAAAATCTATGTGCAGTCGGAACCACGGCTGGTTAGGCCATTCCCAAGCATGTAATGGTGCTTTAGTTGGAGATTTCGTAGAATCCTGGCATGCTGTACAACTGCGAACACTGTCATCGATTTCAGCATCTAACCCTGGCCACCATAGGTAATTCTGAGCCAAAGCTTTCATGCGCACTATACCAGGAATTATACCCGCGACCCCCACAAAATACATCCTTGCTGAACTGAGAGTTCTTGTTTGCGTCTGATATACGGTCGCAGTTGTTCCTCAACCTGCTCAGGCCAACCTTGGGTTACCCACTTTAAGATGTGTGATAATACTGGATCTCTTGCTGTCCAGTTTTCTACAAGCTCAGCCGTTACTGGTGATCCATCCAGTGTTGATAATGTAAGAACCACCTCTTCAGGGACAGGTACACTGCCTGGTTGTTCCTTTATGGGTAAGCGACTTAATCCATCTACATTTCCCATATTAGATCCTGGTTTATACTCTAACTGGTATTGATAATTGGCTAGTGTAAGTGCAGATCGCTGAATTCTGGCACTTGCCAACTGTGATATAGCTTTATCTTGCTTTAACAGACCAAGTAATGGCTTATGATCTGTTTTGATGCTAAATTCACGCCCATATAGGTACTTATGAATTTGGTACACCAAACACATTGCTAGTCCTTCTCGTTCTGTCTGGGCATATCACTTCTCTGCATGTGCTAGTATGCGAGAGGCAAAAGCTATGGGTTGTTCCATTCCATTTGGCATACTATGGGAAAGTACTGATCCAATGCCATATGGAGAAGCATCACAATCCAAGGTTAGTTTCAAACCACTATCATAGTGTACTAACAGTTGAGACGACTGTAATAGTTCCTTTGATTTGCTGAATGCTTCCTGCTGACGTTTCCCCCACTGCCACTTGGAGTTTTGTTGTCCAAGTTGATACAGTGGTGCCAAAACAGTGCTAAGATTCTTCAAGAACCTATGATAGTAATTTAAGAGACCTAAATAACGTTTATGCTCTTCTCTGTTCTGAGGCGCTGGAGCTTTCTGTATGGCTACCACCTTTTCTTCTGTAGGACGAATACCAGTAGCATCAATGCAATGTCCTAGGTAAGTGACTGATGGTTTCTTAAACACACACTTGTCTCGTTTTAGTTTGAGTCCAGCTTTGTCTAAGCGATCCAAAACTTCATCTAAATTCTCTTCATGCTCTTTTTCGGTAAGTCCAGAAACCAGTATATCATCGATATAAACTGCTGTCATTGATATGCCTTGGACTGTCTGTTCCATGGTTCTCTGGTCTCTCTGCTGATATACCATAGGGTAAACGTGTGTATGTATATATACCTTTGTTAGTATTGATGGCTGTCAAGTTCTGTGACTCCTCATTCAATAGCAATTGCTGATAAGCATGACTCAAATCTAACTTAGTGAAGAATTTACCCCCAGCAAGCTTTGCATACAAATCTTCAACATTGGGTATTGGGTATCTGTCAACACATAAGGCTTTGTTTAAAGTTTGTTTGTAGTCACCACATATGCGAACATCACCTGTCGCTTTAAGTACAGGTACAACTGGTGAAGCCCAATCTGAGTAAGATACAGGTCTAATGACTCCTTCCTTTTCTAAGCGATCAATCTTTTTATCTACTTTATCTCGGAGGGCAAATGGTACAGTACGTGCTTTCATATATCTTGGTGTTATCTCAGGATTAACATGCAGCTTGATGGTAGTGTCTTTCAGGGTTCCTAATCCTGGTTCGAACAATTTTGGATGTTTACTAATCCATGACTCTCCATCAAGATGAAAAACTTGTGGCGAGTATAGTTTTATTAATTCTAACCAGTCTCTGCCTATCAAGTTTGGACCATTACCTGGTACAACCAATACTTTTAATTTATGTATGGTATCTGCTTCACGTGCCTCCATTTCTGTCTGACCTAAGGGGTTAATACAATTTCCTGCATATGTTCTCAATCTGGGTAGTCCCTCAGTGTGTAGTTGTAATGCTTGCTGACCAACTTTCAGTTTCTTAAACTGCTGCTCACTTACCAAACTTACTGCTGCGCCCGTATCAATTTCCATGGTTGTCGGTACCCCATTCAGTTGAAGGTTGTATTTATATGGCTGTGTTTTGGAAATACTTGATGCAGTCTATACAGGTCAACGTTATATGTTTCCTGCCCATATGAGTAGACTGTGGTTGGTTCAGTAGAAATAAAAATATTTTCTGTTCTCCCTTGTGACTTGCAATATTTAACAAAATGAATCTGCTTATGACATTGTCTGCATTCTTTTCCCCAAGCTTGACATTTCTCCTTTTTGTCATGAGGCCATTTACCACCACAACCCCAGCATGACGGTTTTTTATCACCATTACCAGGCCCCCTAGGCTTGTGTAATTTCTTCAGTTTGTAATGGGTCATTCTGTGTACTGTGTGTACATTGCTAGGTGCTTCAGCCCCTGCATTGACTGTAGACATATTATGTGCCTGAGCTGTAGTGGCTTCTAGTGAACGACCATATTTCAATAAATCATCAAGGGAAAAATTCAGCTCTCTTAATCCTTTTTCTCTTATTTTTCGGATTTATGCATTTCTGTATAATCTGAGATTTTATTTCATTCTCTTTCTCATGAAATTCACAGTTCTTGGCTAGCTGTCGTAATCTAGCAGCAAATTTATCACGTGTTTCTGATGGTAACTAACTTGCCTAGCGAAACACATACACTTCATACTTCACTTTGGCGCGAAGTACTCACTCAGTTTTGTCTTCAACTGTGCGTACGTTTCGTCTTCCGCCTGCTCCAATCCGAGGTGAATTTCAAAAACTTCTTCCCCCGCTAGGTGAAGTAGGAGAGCTCTTATCCTCGCATCCTGTATAATATTCTTGGCTACAAGATAATTATCGAATCTTTCTATCCACCTTTCCCAGCGCACTGTAGCTGTCTCTGGCGGAATTGGGATGAACGGTTTCAAAGCATCGTTGCCGTTCATTGTGACGCTGATTTGTTTTGTCTTCAAAACAGGCTCAAAAATAATTTGTACTCACTTCACTTGTTCTGACGGTTTTCAGTACGTCAAAGTTACTCCTCGTCGCCAAATTGTTGGGTTCTTGGGTGCAGTGAAGGCCGTAACAGGCTAAAGAATACAAGCTCGGTATAAACAACACAACTGGTTTATTACAGTAATGGCGGCGTTCTGATTACGCATGTGCAGATGACGTAATAAAGTACATGTCATTAAATACGACCCAAGCTCAATATACTACATCCCTCCCCATCTAAGTGAATCTCACTCTAGCAGTCTATATTGGGATTTAATATATAATGTTCTTTTCTGGATCAGTTCATTCTGCATGCACTTGTACTGAATACTGTAAAACTCAACTAAACTACAATGTGGGTGGCGCTAGGCTCACACCCTAGTGCAGGCTTTATTCTGGCCTATCATATGCACTGTTTCAAAATGTAACTAAACATACATATCATATTTATCTGGAAATTTCCTCTGACGACTAGATCTACGCACTTCTGGCACCGAGGCAGAAGTTTCTGAAGATTGTTCATTTATAGGATCTGTTGTCTCATCTTTCAATGTAGTAGATTTGTTAGTAGTTGGAGGTGATACATTCTCTACAAGTTCTTCCGGTTTCAATGATGACGAATCCTGTTTAGGAACTGGCACTGATGGCGAGATAGAAGGCATCCGTATTGGTACAGGTACCATATTCGGTTTACTCTGAGTTTGGTCACTTTGCGTAATTTCCTCTGATGGCAATCTAGATCTAAGCTGATCTTGATGTCTTTTCCAAACTCTTCCATCCTGAAGTCTAACTAGGAATGTTAGTGATCCCCACTTCTCTTCAATTACTCCAGGTATCCATTTTGGTTTTCCTGCATAATTCATAGCAAATACCGAATCCCCAAGGAAGTAGGTGTAATCCCTTGTTTTTGTATCGTAATTCTCTTTCATCTTTCCCTGGTTATGCAATACTCGTGTCTGAAGTGATGGTTGCACAAGATCAAGTCTTGATCTTGGATGTCTATGCATAAGTAATGCTGCAGGAATCTGTCCTGTGGTAGTCTGTGGCGTGATTCTGTATCTTGCCAAAAACCGATACAATCTGGACTCTAAACATCCTGAAGACTTTCTGAGACCTCCCTTGACTGTTTGTACAGCTCTTTCAGCTAACCCGTTACTGGCAGGATGGTAAGGAGCTGTTGTGATGTGCTTTATTCCATTTGTTTTACAAAAGGATCTAAACTCTTCGCTGGTGAAACAAGTACCATTGTCTGATACTATCACGTGCGGTAGACCATGCGTAGCAAATGTTTGGTACAATTTGTTGATTGTTGCTGTGGATGTTGCTGTCGGCATAACGTGAGCTTCTATATATTTACTATGAGCATCAACAATGATTAATATCATTTTACCTTCATATGGACCTGCAAAATCTATGTGCAGTCGGAACCATGGCTGGTTAGGCCATTCCCAAGCATGTAATGGTGCTTTAGTTGGGGATTTCGTAGAATCCTGGCATGCTGTACAACTGCGAACTCTGTCATCGATTTCAGCATCTAACCCTGGCCACCATAGGTAATTTCGGGCCAAAGCTTTCATGCGCACTATACCAGGATGACCTTCATGAAGTTCCTCTAAGATAGCTTCACGAGCCCGAGCTGGAATTATTACCCGCGACCCCCACAAAATACATCCTTGCTGAACTGAGAGTTCTTGTTTGCGTCTAAAATACGGTCGCAGTTGTTCCTCCACCTGCTCAGGCCAACCTTGGGTTACCCACTTTAAGATGTGTGATAATACTGGATCTCTTGCTGTCCAGTTTGCTACAAGCTCAGCCGTTACTGGTGATCCATCTAGTGTTGATAATGTAAGAACCACCTCTTCAGGGACAGGTACACTGCCTGGTTGTTCCTTTATGGGTAAGCGACTTAATCCATCTGCATTTCCCATATTAGATCCTGGTTTATACTCTAACTGGTATTGATAATTGGCTAGTGTAAGTGCCCAACGCTGAATTCTGGCACTTGCCAACTGTGATATAGCTTTATCTTCCTTTAACAGACCAAGTAATGGCTTATGATCTGTTTTGATGCTAAATTCACGCCCATATAGGTACTTATGAAATTTGGTAACACCAAACACAATTGCTAGTCCTTCACGTTCTATCTGGGCATATCGCTTCTCTGCAGGTGCTAGTGTGCGAGAGGCAAAAGCTATGGGCTGTTCCATTCCATTTGGCATTCTATGGGAAAGTACTGCTCCAATGCCATATGGAGAAGCATCACAATCCAAGGTTAGTTTCAAACCACTATCATAGTGTACTAACAGTTGAGACGACTGTAATAGTTCCTTTGATTTGCTGAATGCTTCCTGCTGACTTTTCCCCCACTGCCACTTGGTGTTCTGTTGTCCAAGTTGATACAGTGGTGCCAAAACAGTGCTAAGATTCTTCAAGAACCTATGATAGTAATTTAAGAGACCTAAATAACTTTTAAGCTCTTCTCTGTTCTGAGGCACTGGAGCTTTCTGTATGGCTGCCACCTTTTCTTCTGTAGGACGAATACCAGTAGCATCAATGCAATGTCCTAGGTAAGTGACTGATGGTTTCTTAAACACACACTTGTCTCGTTTTAGTTTGAGTCCAGCTTTGTCTAAGCGATCCAAAACTTCATCTAAATTCTCTTCATGCTCTTTTTCGGTAAGTCCAGAAACCAGTATATCATCGATATAAACTGCTGTCATTGATATGCCTTGGACTGTCTGTTCCATGGTTCTCTGGAAAATACCTGGTGCTGCTGATATACCGTAGGGTAAACGTGTGTATGCATATATACCTTTGTTAGTATTGATGGCTGTCAAGTTCTGTGACTCCTCATCCAATAGCAATTGCTGATAAGCATGACTCAAATCTAACTTAGTGAAGAATTTACCCCCAGCAAGCTTTGCATACAAATCTTCAACATTGGGTATTGGGTATCTGTCAACACATAAGGCTTTGTTTAAAGTTTGTTTGTAGTCACCACATATGCGAACTTCACCTGTTGCTTTAAGTACTGGTACAACTGGTGAAGCCCAATCTGAGTAAGATACAGGTCTAATGACTCCTTCCTTTTCTAAGCGATCAATCTCTTTATCTACTTTATCTCGGAGGGCAAATGGTACAGTACGTGCTTTCATATATCTCGGTGTTATCTCAGGATTAACATGCAGCTTGATGGTAGTGTTTGTTTGTAGTCACCACATATGCGAACTTCACCTGTTGCTTTAAGTACTGGTACAACTGGTGAAGCCCAATCTGAGTAAGATACAGGTCTAATGACTCCTTCCTTTTCTAAGCGATCAATCTCTTTATCTACTTTATCTCGGAGGGCAAATGGTACAGTACGTGCTTTCATATATCTCGGTGTTATCTCAGGATTAACATGCAGCTTGATGGTAGTGTCTTTCAGGGTTCCCAATCCTGGTTCGAACAATTTTGGATGTTTACTAATCCATGACTCTCCATCAAGATGAAAAACTTGTGGCCAGTCTAGTTTTATTATTTCTAACCAGTCTCTGCCTATCAAGTTTGGACCATTACCTGGTACAACCAATACTTTTAATTTATGTATGGTATCTGCTTCACGTGCCTCCAGTTCTGTCTTACCTAAGGGGTTAATGCAATTTCCTGCATATGTTCTCAATCTGGGTAGTCCCTCAGTGTGTAGTTGTAATGCTTGCTGACCAACTTTCAGTTTCTTAAACTGCTGCTCACTTATCAAACTTACTGCTGCCCCCGTATCAATTTCCATGGTTGTCGGTACCCCATTCAGTTGAAGGTTGTATCTATATGGCTGTGTTTTGGAAATACTTAATGCAGTTCTATACAGGTCAACGTTATATGTTTCCTGCCCATATGAGTAGACTGTGGTTGGTTCAGTAGAAATAAAATTATTTTCTGTTCTCCCTTGTGACTTGCAATATTTAGCAAAATGATTCTGCTTATGACATTTTCTGCATTCTTTTCCCCAAGCTGGACATTTCTCCTTTTTGTCATGAGGCCATTTACCACCACAACCCCAGCATGACTGTTTTTTATCACCATTACCAGGCCCCCTAGGCTTGTGTGATTTCTTCGGTTTGTAATGGGTCATTCTGTGTACTGTGGGTACATTGCTAGGTGCTTCAGCCCCTGCATTGACTGTAGACATATTATGTGCCTGAGCTGTAGTGGCTTCTAGTGAACGACCATATTTCAATAAATCATCAAGGGAAAAATTCAGCTCTCTTAATCCTTTTTCTCTTATTTTCGGATTTATGCATTTCTGTATGATCTGAGATTTTATTTCTCTCTCTTTCTCATGAAATTCACAGTTATTGGCTAGCTGTCGTAATCTAGCAGCAAATTTATCAAGTGTTTCTGATGGTAACTGACTTGCCTGGCGAAACACATACACTTCATACTCTACATTTCGTTTTGGCGCGAAGTACTCACTCAGTTTTGTCTTCAACTGTGCGTACGTTTCGTCTTCCGCCTGCTCCAATCCGAGGTGAATTTCAAAAACTTCTTCCCCCGCTAGGTGAAGTAGGAGAGCTCTTTTCCTCGCATCCTGTGTAATATTCTTGGCTACAAGATAATTATCGAATCTTGCTATCCACCTTTCCCAGCGCACTGTAGCTGTCTCTGGCGGAATTGGGTTGAACGGTTTCAAAGCATCCTTGCCGTCCATTGTGACGCTGATTTGTTTTGTCTTCAAAACAGGCTCAAAAATAATTTGTACTCACTTCACTTGTTCTGACGGTTTTCTGTACGTCAAAGTTACTCCTCGTCGCCAAATTGTTGGGTTCTTGGGTGCAGTGAAGGCGGTAACAGGCTAAAGAATACAAGCTCGGTATAAACAACACAACTGGTTTATTACAGTAATGGCGGCGTTCTGATTACGCATGTGCAGATGACGTAATAAAGTACATGTCATTAAATACGACCCAAGCTCAATATACTACAAAATCCTACTCTCTGATTTTGACAACAACCACGACAAGGTGTTAGCTTTCAACGAGATCGCCGATCTGAATGAACTTATCAACGAACGACGCGCCAAACTGCAAGCCGTCGACGAGGACTTACGTCTCGCTATGCATCACGAGGGTGAAGAAGAGTCAACTATCGAAAAAGAAATGGAGGAAAGCTACGATTATACTGATGAACTATCCATGAAATCACGTAGAAGGCAGCGACGCATCGACGCCATTGACCCACGCAGACAAGCACCGAACACAGGCTCCAGCGCCGGTTCAACTCCACGCAGCAACCCATCAGCTAGTACGCACAGAACTGTGAATTTGCCGAAAATTGAATTACCAACATTTTCGGGCAATGTATTGGAATGGATCACATTCTATGACACGTACAGGTCTACAATTCACGATGATAAAACACTCGGAGACATTCAACGATTCGCATATCTCAAGGGGGTATTACGAGGAGAAGCCCTACTCTTGATTTCAAGTTTACCGCTCACAGAAGTGAATTACGCCCAAGCGCTCGCACTTCTCAACGAACGTTACGGACAGAAACATATGATTATTTCCGCTCACATGGAAGCTCTTTGGCAGCTGCAGTCGCCCATCGACGATGTTACGAGTTTACTACGCTTCAATGACACGCTAGAGTCTCATATCCGCGGACTGCAAGCCCT